TTATTTTGGTAGATGCCTTTCACCAGGTTGAGAAGGTTTCCTTCTTTTCTCCTTTGCTGAATTTTTATCGGGAACGGATGTTGGATTTTGTTAAATGCTTTTTCTGCGTCTACTGATATAATCATGTGGCTTTCTTTTTTAGACTGTTAATGTGCGGGATTCTTGATTGTTAAACCAATCTTGCATTCCTGGGATATCCCCCACTTGGTCATGACATAGTATCCCTTTTTTTTTTTTTTTTAAATATTGTTGGGTTAACTTGATAAACATTTGCTTGGGATTTTTGTATCTGTATGAGTGCATAGATCTGTAGGTTTTTTTTTTTCTTGTTAATAACTTTTTTCTGGCTTTGATTATGTGAGTAATGCTATCTTGATTGAAAGTATTCAGAAGTATTTCCTCCTCTTCAATTTGCTAGGTGAGTGCTATACACTAAGTGTTTGTGTGTTGAAACTTACTCCCCAGTGTGATGGCATGAGGAGGTGATAGGTGATGAAGCCCTCCCTTCATGGATGGGACCCATGCCCTTAGGAAAGAGGCCCCGGAGAGCTCTGTTGCCCTTGTGCCGTGTGAGGGTGCAGTGAGTGGATGGCTGGCTGGGAGCCCCGGGGGTGCCCTCTGAAGACTCCAGCCCTGCTGGGGCCTTCCTCCGGGGCTTCTGGCCTGCACAGCTGTGAGCGGTACCTGCCTGCTGTTCATATGCCCCCTGGCCTGCAGCATCCTGGTATAGCAGCCCTAATGCACTGAGACACTGAGGTGCTCTGGAACTGGGGTTTGTTCCTTCAGCGTTTGATACAGCTCATCAGTGAAGCCATCTGGGCCTGGGATTGACTTGCAGAAAGGTTTTAACAACAAATTCAATTGCTTTTATAGATAGAGGACTACTCAGCTTATTTATTTCTTCTTGAGTGAGTTTGTTAATGTTTTAAGGAATTTATTTCATCTGTGTTGTCAAGGTTTTTGGCATAAAGTTCCTTTATTATCCCTTCAGTATAGATAGATATATCAGTGCACTGCAGTGCTAATTACCTACTCATAGCTGATATTAGTAATTTGTCTTTTTTTTTCTTTAATACTATTGCTACTAGGTATGTTGATTTTTTTTTTTAAGGTTTATTTTATTAGAGAGAGTGCACGCACATGTGTGCACGCATGAGTCGGGGGAGGGGCAAAGGGGAAGAGGGAGAGAGAGCTTCTCAAGCAGACTCCCTCCTGAACTCGGAGCCCAACGCAGGGCTTGATTCCACGACCCTGAGATCGTGACCTGAGCCGAAATCAAGAGTCAGCTGCTTAACTGACTGAGCCACCCAGGTGCCCTAAGAGGTTTATTGATTTTTATTGATCTTCTCAAAGGACCAGGTTTTAGTTTCATTTATTTTTCTCTATTCTTTTTCTATGTTCCTTTCATTGATGCACTATTATTTACTTTCTTCTGCTTATTTGGGGGGTTTTTCTCTTATTTTTCTGCTTTCTTAAAATTGAAGCTAAGTTCCCTGATTTTTGAGATCTTTATTTTCTAACATTGGCATTTAGCACTGTGAGTTTCTCTCTAAGTACTGCTTTGGCTACACCCCCCCCCCCCCCGCATTTTGATCTATAGTGTTTCCATTTTCATTCAGTTCAATATCCTTCCGACTTCCTTTTTTATCTCGTCTTTGACCATGGATTATTTAGAAGCCTGTTATTTAGTTTCTAAATATTTGAGGATTTTCCAGAAAGATTTGTCTGTTAGTGATTTCTCATTTAATTCCATTGAGGTGAGGAAATACATTTTATGACTTGAATCATTTTGAACTTACTGAGACTTGCTTTATGGCCCAGAACATGGTCTATCCTCATATATCTTTGTGCTTGAACAGGTGTATTGTATTCGTGGGTAGAATGTTTTATGAATGTCAGGTCAATTTAGTTGATAATGTTACTCAAGTTCTTTGTATCCTTACTGATTTTCTAACTATTTGTTTTATTGAGAGAAGGGTTTTGAAATCTACTAAAATTGTGGATTTGTTTATTTCTTCTTACATTTCTGTTTTTGCTTCATGTATTTTTGAAGTTCTGGTATTAGATGCATAAATATTTAGGGCCATTATGTTCTCTTGATGAATTGATGACCCCTTTATAATCATGAAAATGATGATGACATTCTTTATCCTTGCTAATATTCTTTGCTGTAAAATCTGCTTTATAGGACATTCATATAGCTGTGTCAGGTATTTTTTGATTATGGTTACATAGTATACTTTTTCCCATTCTTATACTTTCAAACTGTTTGTGTCTTTATATTTAAATAGTTCATTTCTTACAGATAATGTAGAGTTGGGTCTTGCTTTTTTATCCAATGTATTAATCTTTATTTTTGAGTTTGGGTGTTCAGACCATTTACTTTGAATGTGATTACTGATATTATTATGTTTGACTATAATCTTGCTCTTTATTATCTCTTTCTTCTCATCTCTTATTTGTTCCCTTTTTCCTCTTTATCTTCATTTTTCTGGATGAGCTGCATTAAAAAATGATACCACTTTACCTCCTTTGTTGGCCTATTTGCTATAACTGTGGTATTTTTTGGACATATGAGAATACCTATTTACCTTTATCATTATTATTATTATTTTTAAAGTCTGTCCTTTGTATATAATGTAAAAGCCAGTGAGTAGTACATACATAGTTTTAAAATGATTAAATACACATATATTGGGTATATGTGTTCTAATTTTGTTTTTGCTAATGGTGGTGTATGATTAAAAATGTCTTGAGACCAGGTAAGACTTTCCTGGAGCATCTGGACAAGGGTTTTTATTTTGTGATCTGTCAGTTTTTCCATAAATCAGCTTCATCATATGCAAGATTTTGTATGGGTGCGCATCTCTTTGTTTTTCTTGTGAAAAGATCTGTGGCTCTCACCAGATTCTCAAAGGAGTCTTTGGTCCTAAAGGTCAAATGAACTACTTATCTGGGATCCTTGGGCTGAAATCACTGAAATTTGTTTTGGAAGGGTTGTATCCTGTCTACAGATAACTTCCTAGGTTAAATTAAATGGTACTTTGAAGAATAAAATGTATAATTAGATCTGTATTCCTTTTGACAAAGTTTTTTATTGATTTTTTTTAAAAGATTTTATTTGAGAGAGAGCACAAGAGAGCACGAGGTGGGGGCGGGCAGAGGGAGAGGGAGAGGCAGACTCCCCACTGAGCAGAGAGCCCGACGTGGGACTCGATCCCAGGTCCCTGAGATCATGACTTGAGCCAAAGGCAGGTGCTTAACCAACTGAGCCACCCAGGCGCCCCAGACAAAGTAAAGTTTTATTAAGGCTTTTTTCTGAGAAGCTGCAGCCATGATTATTGCCATGACTAATGATGTGTGGTCTTTGTGGCATATTCTCCTGGTGTTTGAGTCCCTTTACCTTCTTTAAAAAGATATTTTATTTTGTGTTTTCATTAATTTTTTCTTTAAAATATATGGTAGATTATTGTCTCTCAAGTTCAAATACACTGGCCCTGTGTAAATGTGGCCATAAAAGAACTACTACTTAGGACACCTAGGGTACTCAATTGGTTAAGTGTCTGCCTTCGGCTCCTGTCATGATCCCAGGGTCCTGGGATCGAGTCTGGCACTGGGCTTCTTGCTCAGCGGGGGGCCTCTTCTCCCTCTGCCTGCCACTCCCCCTGCTTATGCTCTCTCTCTCTTTGACAAATAAAATATTAAAAAAAAAAGAACTACGTCTTGAAACCTATTTTTGTGATACTTTTGGGTATGAAGGTTTTTCTGTTGTCTATGCACTGCTTTTGTGGCGTCTGTCCCTGTAACGGGTGATGGGATTGCTTTGGGTGGGGATGAGAGCTAAGTTCAAAAGTCAGCTGACAGAGTGACATGAAGTTTGGTTACTATTGAAATCCTTAGACCACTCAAAAAATAAAGGTGTACGGGATTTTGTTTATACAGTCCTTTATGATTAAAATTTTATATGGCCCCAAGTAACTCTTCAGTTTCTTCCTTGAAGATTGTCAGCAGTCCTGTCATCTGTCAGTTGACTACCTGAATGCTGTTTACTTATTTATTTACCAGTGGTCAGAAAAATCCCAACATTCACATATTCTTTCCAATAAGTATTTGGCCTAGGGCACATTATTACTGAATAGGATGACTTTTGGATTATTCTTTTGAATAAAAAGACTTGTTTTTTAAAATGTGTATAGGAAATTTAAGTAACTTCAATGTATATATGAGATAACTGCCTTTCTGGGTTGGCAGGTGGGGGGAGGTGGGAATAAAAACATTATTAATCTGAGTTGGACACCACAGCCTTGTGGAATAAAATGGCAAACCCAGAAAGGAATCATCCTAGTTGTTTATCTGTTTATGTAGTAACTATTATGTATGTACAAGCATTGCTCTGGGCATTAGGATTGCAGGAGTGAAAAAAACAAAGTCCCTTTTCTCATAGAACTTACATACTGGTGGGGAAAGTAGGCAATAAATAAACCAGAAAGGAAAAGAAATATATGAAGTAGCACATGTTACAAAGAAATGTAATTAAGATAGATGGCCATGGAGGGTGCAGCTGTTTTCTGTAGAGGAAACAGTTGCCCTCTCCAAGGAGATGTTTGATGTGGGACCTGCATGGGGAGAGGGACCAAGCAGCGGGGAGGTGGGCGCTTTAAAGGGCTGTCAGGTGTTTTCTCCGTCCTGTTTCAGTTGAGCACACTGTGCCTATTCTCTCCATGAGCTGCAGAGTGGATTTCTTGTCAGTGTAAGTGGAGTGAGTGACAAGGGACATTCACTCCAGCCTCATCACTTCCAAGACACTGTGACATGTGGAGAAAGTAGGTTAGGGCTGGCTGATGCTGTTCCACAAGGTAACAATTACGTATTCTAACTAGGATCCCCACTAACAAATGAGAAAGTCCATGGAATTTGATCTGACTTGTACTTTGTTTTGTAAGGTGTTTAAATATATTGTACCTGATTTTATTAAGGGTTATTTTATTTATTTTTAACAGGAATCACTAGATTTGATCTACTTGGAGACTTTGGAAGGTTTAATTGGCTGGGAAATTTCTATATTGTATTATCCTACAATTTGCTTTTTGCTATTGTGACAACATTGTGTCTGGTCAGAAAATTCACCTCTGCTGTACGAGAAGAACTTTTCAAGGCCCTAGGTAATCCTGAGGTTTATGGGTATTTTTCTGTCTTTCTGCTAATTTTTAATTTTGTTATTTGAATTAATTTTAAATCTTCATCTGTTCATTTTTCCTACTGTGTGAAACCATAGAGGTCCCATTTCTGACCCACTACTTACTGGTTATGCTCGTGTGTGAAATTACCTTGTTAAGCCTCAGCTTCCTTATCTGTAAAACGGTGACAGTATCTTCTTCTCTCAAGGACTGTTGTGAATATTAACTGGAATATTTCTTGTAAGGGCCTGAGCAGAGTCCTGGCACATCATAAGAGCTCAATAAAATGAGCTCTTTTGTTGTTATGATGATGGTGGTCGAGGCAAGGTTAGGCTAATGGCTAGAGACTAGTTTTTGGTAATGGTACCTCTTACAGTTTTTTAGTTACAGATTTCTTTTGATTACTTGGATTTTACAAGTATCAGACTGATCCATAATTCTCTTCAGTAAGCCAAATAACTCAGGATAAAAATATTAGTATTCTTGTCATTAGTAGGAGAGAGGGCATTCATTATCATGTGTTCCAAAAGTCACATGCATTGTGACAGTCTTAAAAACTTTAGGTTTGGCTAAGGTAAAAAAAAAAAAAAAGGGTATAAATGTAACTTATGAATGAGTTTTTCATGCCCACTTCATCATTAGCACTAAACATTTTATATGTTTTTATTTTATATTTTTATAAGTTTTATTTTATATTGTAGGAATACCAGGGCTTTATAAACTATCTTGCTATATAAACCCTCTTGGGTTTGGAGTAATTTTAAATTTGGCAGTGATTTATTGTAGAAAATCCTAACATTAGGTCATTTACCTAACTTGACATCATTTGAATGCTTATACTCTGTATTCCATTGTGACTTTTAGCTGTTGCAAAAGGCTACGTAGTGATTGATTCATAAGGTCCAGATAACTTCAACCTTCTGAGCAACAAGAAAACTTTGCACCCCACTAAGTTCTTCCAACACCTGTGATTGAAGGGATGACCTTTGGGAAGGAAAAAAGATTTCAAATTATCTATTCATCCATATTTTATTAAATTCACCCTGTGAGGGGATGGCTGGTGCAATAGTGCCTGGAAATGAAAGTGACATCTCATTGCAGCTGAAGCACCAGATAATTTATGGATTTTCATGCCTAGGTTTCAGAATGCTGGCCAGGTTAAAATCTGCAAGGTGAGGTGGGAATCAGCAGCTCTCTGAACCAAATGTCTAAAGTTAGAACTTCATTTTTAAGCCCATGGTAGCATCAGTGAGATTAGTTAGCCATAATGTCAGATCAGTTCCCACTTACCAGTCACTAACATGAGAGGGTTGTAAATGAACTGCAGTAAATTTAGTTTTGTGTTAAGTATTCTGGATATCATCTTTCTAACTTAAGGTGAATTCATGTATGTTGTGTCGGCTCTTTGACCATAACAGGCAGTAGAATTATCAAGACTTGTGTAAAACTAATAGATGGATTTGGTTTTTTGTCCAAATGTTTTCTGTTACTCTTTGGAATGCTTTAAGGAAGAAATGCATTATATGTAGAAAAAGATCCTCTTTAGGTATATGTAATAATGTGTGAATGGTCTGAGATCTTAAATCTGATTCCATGGGGAATCATAATTTGATTCTAAAATTTAACCATCTCCTCCCCCCCCTTGTTTTGTAGTCTTTTTTCCTCTGCTGCTATGTCCATTGATAATGACAGTATTTGTCTCCTAGAGTATCTGGTACACAGAAGATAAAAATCAGATGGTGGTGGAGGTGATTGTTTCTGCAGAGAGAGACATTGTAGTTTTTTTGTTTTTGTTTTTTTTAAAGATGCGTAGCCTGTGCTGCACCCAAGTTTTAGAAGTAATAATGGAAATAATCTATCCTCAAAGGGGATTCCTTTTCACTTTGGGCATTGATTACTCCGCTGGCTCTCTACCTACTTCCTTCACTAGCAGGCCCTGTTTGAAACGCGCTTCCCCACGCCCAGCAGCTGTGGCTCCTGTTGTCGCTCAGTGGTTTGGCCAGAACTGCTGCTCGTGCTCGATTTCTTTTTTCCTTCCCATATTCATCCATCATAGGCGGTCTCAATTTTACCTTTTCTTTCATTAAGATATGCAGGTGGTAGAAACTTCAAAATTCAGAGTGCTGTGTTGACTTAAGAGCGTTAAAAAATTGCTTAACTGCCAGGTAGATAAACTAATGGAATCTTAGGGGAATAGAATCTTATCCAGGTATGTTTTTGATGTGTCACAAAGGTCTGAGCCTCATAAAAATGTTTCCTCAAAACCTTCTCCGTAGATGTGCTGCTTATGTATTCTTGAACATCTTTGTGCTTCATCTTATTACTAAGTGCTGAGAGCTTTGGGGCCACGTAAAGTCTTAGGTTTTTGTTTACCTGTTACCCCTGTGAGTTGCACAGGACTGTTGTATATATCAGGTACATTATGTAAATGACTGATGTATGATACAGAGGGAAACTAACATAACTGTAAAAGGTAGTGAAAATGTTTTATTCTGTGAAGTATCTTTGAATAATGAAATATTTATGTTCAGTTTATTCTTTTGCCATTTCTCCTTTTCTATTTGGTCATGTTTTCCATTGCTTTTCCTCTTAATTATGTGCTTAATATTTTGGTGTGTCTTTCTGGATGTCTTCCTGTATGTATACTTGCATGTGTGTATACAAAAATGGGATCATACTTGTCTCAGGTCAGTTCCCCTGCTGGAAAGCACACTTTGGGGCTGGGACAAGCTTGCAGGAGGAGGTGGATGAGAGGGGTGCTCTTGGGATTGGTATGGAGGGCAGGAGGTGGGGAAGGGACTAACTGCAGAGAGAAGAAACCAGAAGCTTCCATGGGCCCCAGAGCTTCATGGAATTGAGGAGAAGGCATGGCTTCCTAAGAGACAACTGTCTTCTGCTTAGGCCCCCAGGGAGCCTGCAGTGGGGAATAAGAGATTTTTCATGCTAACGGGGGTCTGGCCAGCACATCACAGCTTTTTCGCAGTAACACTTGACACTCCGCCTCCTTAGCCCTCTGCCCACCCACGCAACAATCCCTCATTTCTCACCGTTTTCTTAATTTCTCTGCAGGGCTTCATAAGCTTCACTTATCAAATACTTCAAGGGATTCAGAAACATCAAAGCCGTCAGCAAACGGGCATCACAAAGCACTGTGAGATATGCAGCAGCACTCTGCCATCAAGAGACCCGGGAGCCCCAACTCCCACCGTCCCCGTCAGTCAGAAATGACGCGCACTGACTGGGCTTCACATTTAGGGCCTGGGCCTGGCAGCGCCATTTCTTTAATAACCTCCTAAGAACTTGGCTGCTGCAGGCCTTCTTCTCATTTAACTGTGTGATGGACCCCACAGTTTCCAGCCAAACGCAGGCTTCGTAGGGCAGCACATTTTTCTGTGGACACATTTGCTTGCAGCACTTGATACAGTCACCCATATGCGAATGTTAGAAAAGGCAACTTCGGGGCTTTCTAAGAATTCAGGTAAATCCCAATATATATTTTATTCAAAATGGAGAACCTGACATGAAAGGCATCCTTGGTACTTGGATACGAAGTGAAGGCCCTGCAAAAATGCGAGTTTTATAGATGCCGTTACTGCAGTGGGTGCATTGGAACGGTGGTGTGCAAATGCTATTTTTCACTTCCTTGAAGAAAAAGACAAAAGCGTAGTTCTGGTTTATATTTCAGAATGATACTGATTGGACTTTGAGTCAAGAGAAAAATATGAAATTCTTTTGAAAACCTGATCCATGGTAGAACACCATGGGAATACCTTCCACTGTACAGTATAGTAAGCCAAGTAGGAAGTCTTCTGTAATCATAGTTCTCTGACCTCTTATGTGTGTAGAATTCAGTATTACCTCTCATAACATAGTTGCCAGTGTCGAATACACTTGTAACTTAGATTTTGCCTTATAGGCTATCTGTACACTTGATTTTTTTTAAGCTTTTTTTCAAAAATCCCTCAATTCCTTGTGCTCTTGTGTCCGTTATGGAATTACCAATGCTCTGTGGTAGAAACTCCTTCTGTCAACATATTCTTCAGGTCTTGGTTACTTTTGTATATGCTGGTTTAAACCTCGGATTTATAAAAGTACTAGTTTAACACCCAGATACACAGAGTCGGCATTCATGAGGTAAGAATAGTTTCTCAGTGTTTCATGATCTGATAAATCATTCAGTTATGAAATTGTAAATAATTCTGGGGATGGCTTCTTGACTTTAAGTCCATTGAATAAAAGCTATAAAATTGTACTCTGTTTTACCATCCACTAGGATAGAGTACTGAAAATTGTGCATGCGGAAATAAGAGATGAGCCCCTTTGCACACACTTTGGAGTTGTGCAGTCTCTATAAATACGTATGTTCACATGCACTATGTGTACGGCAACAGATTGTCTGTGTTCAGACAAACGTAAAAGAACATTTTTCTCAAATTGTTGAGTTTAAAGGGTTTTTTTTGGGAGAAATTTATGAAAATCAGGCTGTATATATTTGACATAAAAGATTTCCACTTAGAGCCAAAATAATAAGAAAAATTTATCTGTGTATTCCTAAGTTCCATTGAGTATACCTCTCCTTTATTTATACCTCTGCATTTCCTTCTGAGCTTCTCTTCTCATTAAAAGACAGCCCAGTTTTAAGATAAAAGAACATTTTGTGATTCTAAACAACACTCCGTAAATACCACCAGTCTAGTATTGGTGAATCTCTCTGCATAGGATCTGCATACTGAGAAAATTAATAGAAGTTGGTTGTTTCCTAATTTCACTGGTAATTACACCTATTTAAACATTAATTGCAAGCTTTGATTTTTACTGAAACTTGCTTGCAGGCAATCCATATTTTGAGCAGACTAGGTCAAGGGGAGAAGAAAAAGAAAGTTCTTTAAATAAAAGAGCATCGCTTGTAACTTAACACTGGTTTCTGGGCACATTCGTAGGAAGTTCTGGGGTATTTGTAAGATGTCTGAAAATTTCTGAGTAAAATATTAAACTTTTCGATGTCTGTATCAATTCTTTGTTCATTTGAAAGTTTCTTTCCATCGGAAAACTTAGGCCAGGTTTGATTAGTAAGCAGTGATATGTATTATAAATTCCTACAGCTGTTACTGGGTGCATCTTCATTGCCTTTGAGACAGAGGATATGCCTCACATGGAGGGACAGTTTTGAACCTTGGGTCTCAGATGCCTTTTATGGGAACAGTTGCAGGTGGTTATATACTCTGCTGCATGATTACAGCCACTTCTGGGGTTCTATAAAGAGTATATTCCTGGTTACGTACACAAGAGTCTTCCTCTTGAGTGAGGGACTTAGCAAATGCAGGTGCTTCTATTGGACACACACTGGAGGCTGGCTGCATGAGGCCGTGACAGAAATTGGTGACAGCACACTGAGGCCAAGCACTTGAACTCTGGTAAGGACAGGCGCCCCTCAGGTCTTTGATTTGTTGCAGTTACTGTGCTAGCGAGGGAGGACGCAGATGGCCTGATGCCAGGGCGCCCTGTGCCCGCGGTCAGAGCGGCCCCGGGGATGGCCATTTTGTTCTCTTTGGGTGGGGGGGTCTAGGTGACTGTGTGAAGTCAGACGTTCTGTTGACTCTTTCTCACCTTTGGCTCAACTTTAAAGGGGCATTAGACACGTCTGTAGTAAAAAAGTTTCTTGAGGAGACTTAGCCAATTCTTAATTGGTTCTGCAATACTTATTTTAAAATTATAAATTTTATAGGTTATAACATTTGTAATTTTTACCGACTTTTCCAAGATATTTCTTAGATTCAGTATTTACTTAGCTTTATATATATTCTATATAAAAATAGACCTGCTCTAAAAGAAGAGACTATGTGAGAATCGCACGCACACGCACACTCGCGCACATACAGGTTAGCTCCTTCAGTGCCACACTGAGAGATTGATTAGTGGATAAGCATGAAATCTTCTGCATGGTTTGACTCTTGGATGTATTCAAGGTGTGTACTGTGTACACCTGTTCTTAGGGGCATTGACATCGGCCTTGCTTTGCTGGAGCACAGTAGACCTCTCTGTGCCTCCATAACCACTTAACCTGCTACAGCATAGGCTTACATCATTTGAAAACCCTATGTAGTTTTCTTTGTTGTTAGCACAGTATTTAATGTATAAAGGCAGAGTTCTTAAAATAATTTTTTAAAAATATGAGCATATATTCAGTACTGACTTTAAAAAAAACTGGTATGATGTTACTTTTAAAATAATGTTTAGATGCACTGGTATATTACTTTTGTTTACAGTGTTTTGTTTACAGATTGTCTTTTGGGCTCGTTTGTTTCTATGAGATATTTTTAGTGTGACTTTTTAAATGTCTTAGAAATTAAAACGTTACAAAAAGTGATTTCATGTTTTGGTTTATAAGCATTCAAATGTGTTTTTGTTTTGGTTTTAAATCTTAATTACCATCATGGCTAAAACTTTAGGGTGTATGTAGGTAACTTCCATGTCAGTTTTATAAAGGGCAGTAATGGTTCTGGTGAGATGTTGGACTGAGGAACAAGTAAATGTTTTCTCTCTCTTTTTGTTGTGGAGTTATTGGTAGATGAATTTCTTTGAACCATTTGCAGCTAAAATGTAGCATCAGCAATTAAAATCATGTGTGTCGTCTAATCGTTTGAGTTACTTAGATGTATTTGATTCTTCTAATCTTTTCCATAAAAGGACTGAGGCATGCCTACTTGTGGTCTGGGCAGCTTAATGCAGAGCTCTCAGAAGAGTAAATGGCATTGGCATCTGGTGCCTTAGACAGAAACCTTTACAGCAGTGGCTTTCCAGCTCTCTGACCACAGAAAAAATACTGTTTACACTGTAACACACACACACACACACACAAACACACATACACACACTTCTATACATGTAAACAAATACTTAACAAAGTAGTACCTACTTTTAATGTATGTGACGTGTGCTGGCATTTTCTGTTCTCTTTTTTAGAATACTAGACACAAACCACACTAATACTAATGAATGGTCAACTTTAGTTTGAAAAACGTGACTTCCGGGATCTAGTTGAAAGATGAATGAACACAAAAACTTTTTTTGGCTTTTGAATAATAGGTAAAATTCATTATTGCATATACTACTGAAGCAAAAGTATTATCTGTACAGATTACTTGTTGCACTGCAAAAAATGTAATTAAAATCAATAGAAATTGCTGAAACTCTAAAAATGGATTATAAAATTTCAAAACTAGGTGGTTGATCCATATTTCTTGGAGAAGTAGAGCTGGGACCTTGTTTTGAAGAGAAGTTATTTAATTTCCTATTCTGTGTAATTCAGTTAGGTAAAAGTGTTTTCAAGTTCAAATGTGATCAAATAGGAAATTCAGACAAAACCCAGTTATTCTTGAATGTGATTTTGGTATTCTGTTCTTCCTAAACATACTGGAGAAGTCAAGTTCACAAGTATAGGTTATGAAAAGTAGGGTAGCAGCACCCGATGTATATGATTTCTGAGGATCAATGTGAGCAGAAAGATCTTTAGTGTCTGAATGTGAGGAGGTAGAGGTTTAAATATGAATCTGAGGAGGAAAGTTTTATCAGTTATTAAAAATCCCATGTGAATGTTTTAATGTCTTCTCTCTTGGAAAGCTCTTACTTACTATAAGATAGACTGCTGACCAACAGTGGCCTCTAAGAACCCAGGACATGCTCTAGTATTGAATGGCTACAGCTGTCCTGTCATGCCGTGTAGCTGGTATATCATATTGAATGGCTGTAAGTGCTAACAAACAGCTTTTTACATATATCTTAGCACATTGTTCTATTATTGCTTTTATTGCTTTAGAAATTAGTGGTGAAAAACTTCTCTTTTTCTGTATTCTCAGTACTTCACTTTTAGCCACCAAATGTGTGTGGAGTTTTTCTACACCAGGCTGTTCTCTCAGTTCTCTGTGGATACCACATCCGTGACCTGCAGTTTGATTTAATTTTGACACTATCTACGTGGAGTTAGTGCAGACCCTCAGTCCCATAAGATTGGCTCCCCACCCCCACTTCAGATGCCAGTCCCAAGTCCAGGCTGTCCCATGTGCTTTGACCATGCAGCTATAAATCAGGGGTTCCCACCACCCCCTCTGGTTCAGGGATGTGCTAGAGCAGCTCACAGAACTCTGGGACACACTTTACTTACTAGATGACCTGTTCATTACAGGGGGTACCCCTCAGGAACACCAGAGGGAGGAGAAGCATGGGACCGGGGATGGGGGTGCACACACAGCTTCCGTGCCTCTCCAGGGGCACCAGACTCCCAGCCCCTCCATGTGCTCGCCACCCGGAAGCCCTCTAAATCCCTTCAGTTAGGTGGGTTTTTTGTTTGTTTGTTTGTTTGTTTGTTTTATGGAAGCTTCGCTACAAAGACATGATTGATTAAAAGGATTGGCCATTAGTGATTAGCTCAGCTTCCAAGCCTTCCCCACTCCCCAGAGGTCAGAAGGGTGGGACCAAAAGTGGTTGGTTCCACTGGCCATCATTAGGGGCTTTCCAAAAGACAGTCCATTAGCATAAGCTCAGGTGTGGTTGGAAGGGGCTTCTATGGATATCAAAAGATACCTTGATCTTCTTATCACTTAGGAAATTCCACAGGTTTTGGCTGTGTCAGGAATGGGGAGGAAGACCAAATACATATTTCTTACTATAAATTACTTGGAGGGGTCTGGTTTGGAGCATCGACTTGCATCAGGCGACCAGGGACCACTATTTACTAGATACTCAAGTCTTGGATCAAAGACAATGCACATTTTCAAACTACTTCCAGAAAGACCCTATCAACATATACTCTCATCAGCAGCATGTGAAGATGTGTTTCTCTTGCTAACACTGGATTTTGCCAGTCTTTTACATTAGTGCCAACCTGAGAGGCAAATATTTAATTGTTTTTCTTTGCATTTTTAATAACTATTGGGGGAACTTAATTTTTTATCAGCTATGTGTATTTCTACTTTTGTGAATTATCATTAAATATACTTAGCCTATTTTTCTTCTGGTATTTCATAATATCTTTACTGTTTTATAAAAACTCTGTATATTATGGATTAAATGTTTGTCTTTTGGATGTGTGTATTTTTCCTGGCTGTTTTTTAACTTGTCCACATTGGTTTTTGTATTTTTTTTTCTGTGTGGAAAATTTAAATTCTGAAGTAATCAAAATTTGCAATTTCCCATAATTTTTTGGTGTCATACTTAGACCTACCCTACTCTTAAGACTTTTAAAAATATTTCCCAGTATTTTTCCTTATCTACTTGAGATATAATTCACATATTATAAAATTCACTCTTAAAGCACATGATTCGTTGATGTGTAGTATATTCCTGGGGTTGTGCAACCACCCTCACCATGTGATCCCACATCATTTTCATTACCCCAAACCTAGCTACTTTTATGTCTTTATTTTTTTCATAACTCATCGACACTTTATCTGGATTTATTTTGCTGAAAGGAATGAAATAATGGTTGTGCAGAGATGTCAGTGGCCACACAGGATCTATTCATGCCAGGCAGCCTAGCCCCGGTTTTATTCAGGGTGGCAGTGTGCCCAGCTTCCTGTGCAGGTGGTGTGGCCGTGGGGCTGGGATCTGACCTGCGAGTTTATGCAGCCTATCCTGTGGGACCTCCAGAAAGATGACTTGGAGGAAGCCAGTCAGCCAGAGAGGAAGCACCATCGCACCTCCCGCGTTCCCTCCTGATGGTGCCGTGGATGGGACAGGAAGTGACAGCTGGGACTCCAAGAGCCACTTCAGACTGTGAATTGCCTGTGAAGACAGCTGGAAGAGTTTGGGTGCCCACTGAACGCACCGCTGCCCTGCCGCCCTCCTTGGCTTCTGCAGAGATGGTGACTCCTTGTGTAACCAGACCGCTGCATTCAGGTCTGATAGGAGTGTCCGAATGCAATTCTAACCTGTCCTTGACTAGTTTTATTGTTTCCCCAAATGACAGGCCAGTGTGACAGAACCATACGTTATGTTTGATTTGAGTGCTGTTTTCATGAACTGAATGTCCATAAACATTGAGCTTTTTTTCTAAATTTTATATCTTAAATTCTCTAATTAATGTATCTCATAAACTCATTTTGAAGAATATTCTCCTCTGTTACTGTACCAAACAAACGCTAATCTTGTGTTTTGAATTAATACTTAAGTTTACACTTGACTTCCGTAGTTCTTACCAGTGACTCGTTCTGCTGTCTGGAAACCTCCAGTTAATATGGTGACTTTACCATATACACTTGAATTATAATTTGGAAGATGTATTCTTTTAGACACATTAGCATTCACGTTGGCAAAGAAAGTTCTTATTCACAAAACATCCCGGAGACAGTTGACAAAATTTGAATAAAATGTGTAGATTAGTTAACACTTCTGTATCATTGTCAATTTCTGGTTTAGATAATTTTATTATGGCGTGTTAACATGAGGGGAAGCTGGTGAAGGGTATAGGGGAATTCTATTTTTGCAACTGTTTAATCACTTGCAACAATTTAAAGTACTTAAAAATCCCAGAGACATTGTATAAGAAAGAACTGTGCTGTAAAATAATTGTGCTCGGTTCAGAAACGTGTACCTAAAAATTTTCACTCATGTGCAAAGTGCCCTTAAGCATGGAAGCCAGGTACTGGTGGATGGTGGAACAGAAAGAAGTGTGTGGTCTCAAGGGCACAGATGTCTGTGGTCCCTGACCTGCCCACCTCAGCCCTGTGAACGTGGTCTAGCCTGGCTGCCTCCGGAGATGGTCATGTATTCACAAAGGGCCTTGTGCTGCTCCTCAGCCACCCCCAGGACAGGCTTGCACAGGCATTCTTTTGATACTGTACACCAGCTATTTCCTTGACAAACTGTAGTGTGTGTGTTTCCACATGTAGGCCTGAGAACCTTGCAATTTTTCAACAAAACTCATGGAAAATCTGCCAAGGACAGTGAAGTCTTTGATCTTAGGTCTTTCCCTCTCGGGCAGAAATAGGTCATGATTTAGGCTTTTATGAATTTAATATTATTCCTGATTATTGGGGCTCATAGAGAACTTTATCCAATAACACTATTGTGCGAACCAGAGATAAAATTTTAAAATTCTCACACCATTTTAGAGAAGTTAGATGTATGTCTACACCCCTGCAGAAAGCAGAAAGCAAGCATGGGATCGGGTTCAGGACACACTACTCTCACATGTGGCTCATTGGTGTATTGAATATTTTAAGCTGAAGGGCTTTGAGGTTTACTCTTCTTCCCTAAACCAGGTCCAGGATCCTCTTGAGAGGTGTCCTCCCTGTACCCAGAGGAAAGGAGCATCCTCACCTCAAGGAATCCTAACCGGCCTTGCTGAGTTCCCCAGCTTCCACACTTACC